AAAAAAAAAAAAAAAAAAAAGTAAAAAGAAGCGTAAACGCTACCCGCTGGGCTACCCGGACCAGTGAGTGGCGCGAGAGGCGGGACTCGATGACCTCGAGCAGGGGAGGCCACCCAGCGGCCAGGCCAAGTCTGGGGGATTCTTCCGTCCGGCCGCCAGGGGGCAGTAACGCCAGATCATCGGTCTCCCGGAAGGAATGCGCGATCATCCATCTGTTGCGCCTGCGCGACGGGAGGTGCCGGAGCGCGTTGATGCGGTTGCCAAGACAACCAAGAGGGTGGCCGGATTTAACCGTTGGGGATTAAGCACTTTCACTCTAGGAAGGGAAAATCTCGCGCACGCGCAACGGGGACTGAAACCTGGTCCCCGCAACCCCCTTCACCGGAGCAGTGGGAGAGCGCGCCACAGAGACACTTACGCAGGCGCAGAAGCCTGTTTCCCCTCACCCGCCGCTTCCACCCTGCGCAGGCGCAAAAAGCCGCGCTGGCAACCTCCGCAGCGGTCGCGCGCACCGTTCACCCCTCTTGCTGCTTTTGTCTCGCGCAACCTTCTCAGGCCCTCCGCGAGGCCGGTCCTTTTTTTCTTTCACTTTCCCCACCCGGAGAGCCAGGTGCTGAGAACCGGGACCTCGTCTCCTTCTCTGTATCCCTTCCCCTGACCCACCTCGCCTCCGTCCTCCCTCCCTTTTCCGTTCCCGAAGCCGGAAGGAGCCGAAGCACCCACGAAAAAAGCCGAAGCTGTCCCCGGAGAGTGAGGCCTTCACGAAGCGGTGGCGGAAGGAGCCGAAGTTCTCTGATCTGCGGAGTGAGCAAGTGGCATCTCCGGAAAGAGCCGAAACTTGGACTCGAGCTTAATCCCAGGAGGGGCCCGAGGGCGAGCTCCGGAAATCTCCGGAAAGAGCCGAAGGCCGGGACGGTTAGGATTGTCGGAAGTGGCCGATTGCTTGGACAGGGCTGGCGGAGAAGATCGGAGGAAATCCGTGGAAGCAGCCAAAGACTGGGACGGATTGAATTGTCGGAAGAACCCGAACTCGCAGAGGGGGCTGGGCGCAGTGGAACACGAGGACACACGGAAACCTCCGAACGTTGAGGAGATAATTTTGGAAAAGTTACGGAAACCTGGGAAGTCGGCGAAACCCTACCTTCGGGTGTTTTCGGAAGCAGTCGCAGCTGCCATCTGCGTCTCCTTCGTCCAGTGTCCGAAAATAGCCGACGCGCTTCGGAGCCAGGCTCGGGGGGAGGGGCAAGCTCGCGGGC